CAGTACTTATATATAATTTTAAAAATATTAGCTCTGTTTATTTTCATCACCATTCTTTATATGTCTGAGGTATGTTGAATTATAATACCCATATTTCATAYAATTATAAATATATAATATTTAATTTTAATTTTTAGGTATTCTTTGATAAAATTTTTCTCACACGTCCATGGAAGGCCTTATTTGTAACTACAGACGATGATATTCATGAATGGTGGTATCGGTGGAAACTAAACCGCTATAGGTAACAAATATATTCACTATTCAGTATAAAATATTTACAATAATTAAAAATGTATTTTTTTAGTGTGGTTAATGGTGTAATACTGAGTTTTATCATCATCTTAGCTCAACGTTATAATTTAATTGATGACAATAATCACAGTAATTTAGTGTTGCCTCGATTAGCTGTATTCTCTTCATTCATTGCATTTATTGGACTTATTGCCTCATCTGTTTATAATATTCTGTGTCAGAATAAAACAGAATGCTATGAATTATTATCATATACATCAGTCATTCCTGTAAGATTCAAGATGAAATAATTATAAAAAAAACTAATATATATATATATATATATACTAATTAGATATTATTTTTATTTCTAGATAATTAGTTATATTATATTACGTAATGTTTCTGGTGTCTTAAGAACACGTTTCTCCAGTTTATTTGCTTGGTTTGGCAGAATTTCTTTGGAATTAATGGTTTGCCAGTGTCATATATGGTTAGCAGCTGATACTCATGGAGTTCTTGTATTATTGCCCGGTTATCCAGTACTCAATGGTTTAATTGTTTCGTTCATTTTTATTTGTATCTGTCATGAGGTAATTATATCCCATTATTCCCATTGATATTAATTAATTATATCTCATGTTCTAAATCATTTTTTTTTCAATGCAAATATAATTTTACAGTTACATGATATTACAACCAAATTGACACCATATGCTGTGCCATCTGATCATAAAGATTTATTCCGTAACCTTATATGTTTCATCTTGTTGTTAATACCATTAGGAGCAAACGACGGTATGTTTTAAATACAATATGTTTATGCATACACAATAAGTTGTCAATTGTGAAAGTTTTTTTATGTCAACTAAAAACCCAAAGTAGTATCAATGAAACTGTATTTGCAAAATACTGTAATATTTAAATTGTTTTAGATTAAAGTTGTTAATTTGTATATTCTATAAAAGCAACTGTTAACTCATATTATTACYATTAGTACTATTAATTTCTCAGGATCAAATGTTTTGACATGAACAAATATATTATATTTTTTAAATTATTATTAATGCAATAAATATATTTTGTGATTTTCTCCTATGTTTTTGA